TTTAAAATAGGCATAGTGTTTTAATTTTTAGGACACCATTTATTATATGTTAGTGTTGTTATTGTTGAAAGCAAGCTGCTGCTCTTGTTGGGAGGGTTCGTGGAGATGTGATGGTTGGGGTTGAACACACTTGTTGGATGGTAACACTTATATTAGCAGAGTGTGAGAAGGGAGCCCAGACTGCCTGTGTTGCCTGTCGTAGACCTAAGCACGGAGAGAGGACGAGGCCAGGAGCGCAGCGCTCTCATGCAGCACCACGTGACGTCACACAAGCTAGTCACTGAGCCTAGCCAGGGGTCAACTATGTAAAACATATGGATGGTACTACTATGATACTCAGGTAACGTACATATACAGGGGATCAGCAACTATGCTGACAGCTCGGTCATGTTACGTATGTCTTCTCAACATACAATACTATGCTATAGGTTGAACAGGCAGGTGGCTCTGGGCTGATTCTATACAATAGCAAAGACATATGAAACTTAGAACTACTGGGTGGTATCATAATACATTACAAATTATAAGAACAAATCATGATATAATAAAGGATGTAATTGATCGATCGATCTGTATTTATTGCATTCTACGGATTCTGAGGTAGAATAATATACAAGTACCATCCGACTTACGACTGAGTTCAGTTCCAACAAACTGGTCGTAAGTCGTAATGGACGTAAGTCGAACCTTACTAATGAATATCAACATCACATTTTTGTAATGACTATTTTATTGTTTTATTTTGGTATTTCATTTTTTACTTTACTTTTTATACTGTTAGTACTGTATTTTATACTGTAAGGTTTAGGATAAACATTGTGTACAACACAAACAATTATTTATTTCCCAGAAATTTGGCATAGAAATCACGGTTGTAAGTCGAATGGTCATACGTCGAGCAGGTCGTAAGTCGGATGGTAGGTGTATTTACAAAGGTGAAAGTAATTAACAGCAAAGGCAGATCTGGCACGCACAGATTAGTACTGCTAAATTCTCAGAATTCGGAGGGAACGTGAACACAAAAAAAAAAATTCTGAAAACTGATCAACTAATAACAAACGCACAGTGGACAACTTCATTCATCTTGAACATCTAATTATACAGGCTATGTACATTTAAACCCAACTCTGTGAGGGTAAGATTTACATATGCAGAATGGTTATCGTCTTTGGGAGGATCAAATTCCTTTGCAATGGCTAACACATGCCTTGACTGAGGGAGATCTGAACAAGTACAGTGATCCCTCGTTTTTCGTAGTTAATCCGTTCCTGGAGCTGTTACTATTAATGAAATCTATGATTTGCGAATCAATTTTCCCCATAAGAAATAATGTAAATACAATTAATCCGTTCCTGACACCCAGAAGTATTAAAACAAAAATAATTTTTACATGAAATATACATGTAGTACATAAACAATACAATGGGAAATGATGAATGAAACATTAACAGCATAACACTTACCTTTATTGGAGATTCTTCTTAGTGTATGGGAGACTGGAGGAGGAGAGAGAGTGGATTGTTTACAGTTTGGAAGGGGAATCCCCTTCCATCAACACCTCAGGTACCCATTGCTTTTCTGAGGTTGCTTCTCTTCTCTGTTTCTTAATGCCACTAGGACCACCTTGAGTCACTGGAGTCCTGTCTCGCAAAATAACTGTCCAGAGAGCTCTGTTTCTGGCATCTCTTTAAAACTTCCCAGAAATGGGCTAAGACTTTGTCACTGTACATGTTGCCAACATGGCTTGCAACAACCTTGTCAGGGTGATGTTTCTCCATAAAGCTTTCCATCTTACCCCACATAGCAAAAATCTCTAATTTTTGAAGAAGGCACCATCTTCTTCTCTTCCTCCTCCTCCTCTGCAGCAAGATTCTGAGCTGTGATCTGTTGCTGTTCCTGCTGAAGCTCTTGCAGCTCCTCAGTGGTGAGCTCTTCATTGTGGTCTTCCACCAATTCTTCCACATCCTCCAAACTCACATCCAACCCCATGGAACTCCCCAGTGCCACAATTGATTTTACAACAGAAACAGGCTCATCAGGGTCAGTCCCAAACCCTTCAAAATTCCTCTTGTTGACACAATCTGGCCACAATTTTCTCCAGGCAGAGTTCAAAGTCCTGGTAGTCACCCCCTCCCAAGCCATACCTGTAAGGGTTATGCAATGGAGGATGCTGAAGTGTTCTCTTCAAAATTCCCATATGGTCAAGTGAGTATCTGTGGTCACAGTCAAGCACCTGTGAAACATTGCTTTGGTGTAGAGTTTTTTAAAGTTTGCAATGACCTGCTGGTCCATGGGCTGGAGGAGAGGAGTGGTATTTGGGGGCAAGAACTTTACTGTGATGAACACAAACTCCTCGAAAATTAGGTCATCCAAGTTTGGAGGATGAGCAGATGCATTGTCCATTACTAGCAGGCACTCGAGATCCAATTTCTTTTCCAGGAGGTAATTCTTCACACTAGGGCCAAACACTTCATTGAACCACTTGATGAAAATTTCCCTCGTGACCCATGCCTTACTATTAGATTTCCAAAACACACACAATTTACTCTTCATAACATTGTTTTTCCTGAACACTCTGGAATTTTCAGAATGGTACACTAGTAATGGCTTCACTTTGAAATCCCCACTAGCATTAGCACAGAACATGAGCGTCAGCCTGTCTTTCATAGGCTTGTGTCCTGGCATTGCCTTTTCCTCCTGTGTAATGAAGGTCCTCTTTGGCATTTTCTTCCAAAAGAGGCCTGTTTCGTCACAATTGAACACTTGTTCAGGTTTCAGTCCTTCAGCCTCTATGTACTCCTGGAATTCATGCACATATTTTTCAGCCGCCTTGTGGTCCAAACTGGCAGCCTCACCATGCCTTACCACACGATGTATGCCAGTACGGTTCTTAAATCTCTCAAACCAACCTTTGCTGGCCTTAAATTCACTCACATCACCACTATTTTCAGGCAATTTCTTTACCAGATCGTTGTGCAACTGCCTAGCCTTTTCACAAATAATCGAAGTCATAAGAGTATCTCCTGCTAATTGTTTCTCATTTATCCACACCAGTAATAACTTCTCAACCTCTTCGAGTACTGGTGATCTCATTTTTGTCAGCATAGTTACCCTCTTTGCAACAACAGCATCCTTGATTTCCTTTTTCTTGGCCACTTTGGAACATATGGTTGTGTAGGGTTTCTTATACATCCTGGCCAGTTCGGCCGCACTTGTACCACTTTCATATTGTTCAATGATATTTTTCTTAAATTCAATCGTATTTCTCACCTTCTTTAACACAGGCTTGGCACTAGGAGCTTTCTTTGGAGCCATGGTAGCTTATTTAGTACTTGCAAGCACTAAAATAAATGGAATATTATGAAATATTTCGCTGGAGCACGTGAGGGGACCTTTGCTCACTGGTAAACGATGCCAGACTGGCTGCCGCCCTGGCTCACGCCATGGGCATGCGTCCCGGACGAACTACTACTTGCGAGTCAACCTATGAAAAGCGAGTCCATGTTTATATGAAAATACCCCTATGATTTCCGAAATCTATGATTGCTGAGAACTACGAAAAGCGAGGGACCACTGTATCTACAAAAGATACTTGGGGGTTTCTCATTACTTGTCGTGTATGCAAAGAATAACGACATTCAGGTTGATCATCTGGCCGAGTGACAGTTGTAGAGGGTACAGAATCAGGAGGAGTGTCAGCATCTGTCACATTGGTCTGGGTAGAAATATCGTCCTCGACATCGCATACTAACTTCATATGATCTAAATGCAATTCCTTATACTGACCGGTACTAATTTCTCTAACGTTATACTTATTGCCATTGATATGTTCAACTACTCGATAAGGACCAACAAACTTTTGATCGAGCTTAGGCACTGCGGATGTTTTGTTGAAGTTAGTCAGCATTACTCTTGAACCCACTTTAACTTTGGTCGGCTTAGCACGGCTATTAGTTACTTTTGTGAATTCTGCTGTTGACTTACGAAGTGTCTCACGGATTCTTCTAAAAACACTGAGGTAAGCTGGTACGAGTTGCTATAAAATCATCAGGGTTGTAATTGGGTTTCGGTGTGGAATATAACAACTCAAAAGGTAAACGTGTGTCTACACTGTACAATGCATAATGTGGAGTGTCACCTATGGAAGCATTATAAGCAGAATTTATAGCACATTGAACATCCGGTATAACTTCATCCCAAGTTTCACTATTGGGGTTGATAGTGGCTCTCAAAACATCAAGTACTTTCTTATTTGTTCGTTCTGCCAACCCATTACTTACAGGATGATGGGGAACAATGGTTGACTTAGAGATCTTGTACAAGGTACACAAATTTTCAAGAAATCTCATTACAGAATTTACCTCCATGCAAAGCTGGAGGTGAATTCTGTAATGAGATTAAGACAGGCTGGATGGTGTAGGGCTAGACTCCCCCCCCACAGACTGGCTTGGCGGCTTGGCTTAATTTGCAAACTCGGGTCAACCCCTCGGAAGTAATGCAAATAAGCAAATAAAACACTAAGACACAAAGACTGACCAGTATGCAGGAAGCAAACAGGCTGGTGGACACCTGCTCGGGTAGCTGGCTGTGAGGTCGACTTGCTGGTGACACAAAATGTCCGTCGTGCTGGTAGAAATTAATCTGCGTACATCTGCGTAAATATCAAATGTACACCTGCACCGCTAGCACCATTTGTTGGGAGGGTTCGTGGAGATGTGATGGTTGGAGCTAAACACACTTGTTGGATGGTAACACTTATATTAGCAGAGTGTGAGAGGGAAGCCCAGACTGCCTGTGTTGCCTGTCGTAGACCTAAGCGCGGAGAGAGGACGAGGCTGGGAGCTCAGCGCTCTCATGCGGCATCACGTGATGTCACACAAGCTAGTCACTGAGCCTAGCAAGGGGTCAACTATGTAAAACATATGGATGGTACTGTGATATTCAGATAACATAAACATATACAGGGAATCAGGAACTATGCTGACACTCTGGTTTTACAGGCTATGTTTACTGGTGGCTTACGGGAGTGTGAAATGGATACAGTAAAGCTACAAGGTGTCTGTCCTACAGTCCTGGCTCACCTTCTCTGCTTCATGTATACTGGCGAGATTGTCATCAACGAGATGCTCGTGTGTCAGCTTCTTCCTGCAGCCACTATGCTCCAGGTTAGTTTTTATTTACTGTTGTCTGATAATTTCTGTATAAACCACTGAGCAGGTGGCTTACGCACTGGCCTGGAGTCTTACGACTCACATGCCATGGGTTCAAGCCTGACCCGTTCGTGGTTTGTCTGCAATTGTGTTATTACGATTTCACGAGTCAATTTCTGTATATTTTCTTTTGGTAGTTTTCCCTTATTTGGCCAGAGGCACAGCTTTCCACAGTACCTTTAAAAGGTAATATGTTTTTGGAATTATTTATAATGTAGTACTGTGAGTTATGTTCCTGCTTCTTTTTTTTTTTTTTTTTTTTTTCCACCGACTTTTTAAGTACCAGTAGGAATGGTCTCATCTTGCAGTTACTGAGCCTCCACCCCATGCACTGAATGATACAAATTGGTTTTGTGCTCCACTAAAACAAACCTTCCACTATTTTACTACAAGTCCTTCCCCTCAGGTTTAAACTGGCTGATATTAGCCTTATTGCTTGTACAGTAAATTTTCGGAATATGTTCGTAAATATTGGCAAGTTATGTAAAATAGCATTGGGAGGTGAAGAACAAATGGGAAAATAAGGTAATGTTCTGTATACCTCCAAATTTTGCAAAAATTTTTACTATTGTACAAAGTACAAATTAGTACCATAGAAGTGGAGAAATGGGGAGAGGGTTGATGTGGGTTTACTAGGCTGAGGTGGATGGCTGTGGGTCTTGTGTTGATGTGGATACATAGTTGTCAGTAGTTGATGGTTGTATTGGGATGCTCATATATTCTGTAATACATCTCAGGTATGTTTTACTACAGTACATAGCCCCACTCCACAAAGGGGGCAGTAAAAGCAATAGCAAAGAACTACAGACCGATAGCACTAACATCCCATATCATAAAAATCTTCGAAAGGGTCCTAAGAAGCAAGATCGCCACCCATCTAGAAACCCATCAATTACACAACCCAGGGCAACATAGGTTTAGAACAGGTCGCTCCTGTCTGTCTCAACTATTGTATCACTACAACAAGGTCCTAGATGCACTAGAAGACAAAAAGAATGCAGATGTAATATATACAGGACTTTGCAAAAGCCTTCGACAAGTGTGACCATGGCGTAATAGCGCACAAAATGCGTGCTAAAGGAATAACAGGAAAAGTTGGTCGATGGATCTATAATTTCCTCACAAACAGAACACAGAGTAGTAGTCAACAGAGTAAAGTCCGAGGCAGCTACGGTGAAAAGCTCTGTTCCACAAGGCACAGTACTCGCTCCCATCTTGTTCCTCATCCTCATCTGACAGACAAGGATGTCAGCCACAGCACCGTGTCTTCCTTTGCAGATGACACCCAAATCTGCATGACAGTGTCTTCCATTGCAGACACTGCAAGGCTCCAGGCGGACATCAACCAAATCTTTCAGTGGACTGCAGAAACCAATATGAAGTTCAACGATGAGAAATTTCAATTACTCAGATACGGTAAACACGAGGAAATTAAATCTTCATCAGAGTACAAAACAAATTCTGGCCACAAAATAGAGCGAAACACCAACGTCAAAGGCCTGGGAGTGATCATGTCAGAGGATCTCGCCTTCAAGGACCATAACATTGTATCAATCGCAGCTGCTAGAAAAATGACAGGATGGATAATGAGAACCTTCAAAACTAGGGATGCCAAGCCCATGATGTCACTCTTCAGGTCACTTGTTCTATCTAGGCTGGAATATTGCTGCACACTAACAGCACCTTTCAAGGCAGGTGAAATTGCTGACCTAGAAAATGTACAGAGAACCTTTACGGCGCGCATAACAGAGATAAAACACCTCAATTACTGGGAGCGCTTGAGGTTCCTGAACCTGTATTCCCTGGAATGCAGGCGGGAGAGATACATGATTATATACACCTGGAAAATCCTAGAGGGACTAGTACCGAACTTGCACATGAAAATCACTCGCTACGAAAGCTAAAGACTTGGCAGACGATGCAACATCCCCCCAATGATAAGCAGGGGTGTCATAGCACGTTAAGAGACCATACAATAAGTGTCAGGGGCCCGAGACTGTTCAACTGCCTCCCAGCATACATAAGGGGGATTACCAATAGACCCCTGGCAATCTTCAAGCTGGCACTGGACAAGCACCTAAAGTTGGTACCTGACCAGCCGGGCTGAGGCTCGTACGTTGGTTTGTGTGCAGCCAGCAGTAACAGCCTGGTTTATCAGGCTCTGATCCACCAGGAGGCCTGGTCACAGACCGGGCCACGGGGGCATTGACCCCCGGAACTCTCTCCAGGTAAACTCCAGGTACTTTTATAGAGCTGACCAAAAAACTGTCCTGAAGATGACTGCATTTTTTAATTATAATAAAAAAAAAGGGCTAAACCAACAAGGGCCATACAGCGCAACAGGGCAGGGGGGTAGTGCAGAATTATCCAGGAGCAAGGGTGGAGTGGACAACAGAAAGTTAGAAAGGGCTGTGAGGAGTGCTAGAGGAAATATCATCAAAGTTTGTGTAGTAAAGTAATTGCTGTCAGAGTCAGAGGGAGTCTGAGTCAAAGGTGGGTCCATCAGCATGGAAGGAAAATAAAGTAAGGGTGTTAGAGCAGTGACGATGTCGGAGGCAAATTTGTCAGTAGTATTACTCTGTACTTGTGTAGTATACTTAGATAAACCCAGTTACTTTATAGACAGGCTCCCTGGCTATCTATGACGTCATGATTTCCGCTCATGTGAGCCATAGGCCACAGCCCTCCTCAGTTCAACACTAGTAGTTATAGACTCAACAGCAGGCTCCTGGGCTTGTCCTCAAGACTCTTAATTATGAACCTCCAGACATCCAACGTGTGTATTTCTTACTCCAATATCTCCTTACTAACCCCCACGACAAATTCTGTGTGCTCATTGATAGACCTGACAGTCCAACAGAATATGGCTAACCAAAACTGGAACCTGATAATTCTCATAGGGTGGAGCAGGGCACCTCTCCATGAGATACCTGTAAGACGAGTGTGCCCAATGCGAAGACAGGAGAGTGCAGTCTCCCAACCTCTGCATTGATGACAAGAAGATGACCAGAAACCTAAACTTGGTTTAACTCTTTCAGGGTCCGTCCCGTAGATCTACGGCTTTACGTTCAGGGTCCAAACCGTAGATCTACACCATGAGCTCAGCTCACTCTGATAAACTGTGTGGTACATTTGGGCCTAGATATGAGAGAATACATCTATGTGGTATGTGTGCACCACATAAAACAAATCCTGCAGCACACTGTGTATAATGAGAGAAAAAACTGAGACCATGATTTTCGATTAAAACAGCAACTTTGCAGTGTTTTTTCATGTGTTTTTTATAGATGTATTTGTGATTTCTTGGTCTCATTTGATAGAATGGAAGACATATTACAAAAATAGAGATGATTTTGATTGGTTTTAGCACAGGAAATGGCTTGAAACTGAGCTCAAAGTAGCGGAAATGTTAAATTTTTGCAGATGTTCAAGAGTAAACAAACGACCTCACACGTCTAATACACGCCAGCTGGTGGGTCTAATATACATTCACAAATGTGGTGATGATATTTATACAATTATTACAATATTGCATAACAGTAAATCTTCTATTTTTTGGTGTGAATAAAAATTCATTATGTGAATAAAAAATCAAAATGGAATTTATTTGTAAAGCCTCAAAACATAACTAATGAACAGAGGAAATGTTAGTTTAGTGCCAGGAATACCTACATTGTTTATTCTGGACCCTACTTTGAAATTGGAATATTTTGAACTTTGTGTTAAATTGGCCAAATTACCAATTTCCGATCACTTTATTTTGTAGTTGAAACAGTTGACCTGGTGATTTCTTGTGCTCAATCGATAGAATAGAAGTAATACTAGTGACATCGCTAAGAATTTGGTTGACTGGAATAATGTAATTGGCCTAAAATGGGAGTCAAATCGCCGATTCGTAAATATCGCTGACACATCAAAATTCACGAGAGCATAATTTCGTCAATTTTCCATCAAATTTCGTACTTTTTGTTTTATTACCTTCACAAAAAGATTCTCTACCATTTCATAAGAAAAAATAAAATTTTTTTTTTTGGGAAAATTCTTGGACACTGGGGCACCACTTCAGATTTTGGCCTTGGACCCTGAAGGGGTTAATAGAATGTAATTTGTCATGTATCATATCAGACCAACATTGTTGCCAACGTTTACAATGGTGGTTAGAAATTTCAGCTAGTCTGTGAATGGAACACCTCTGTATGAAATTGGGAGGTCATGTACTGCTGACCGTGCAACAGTGTCTGTCTGTTCATTGCCCTGTACAGCAACATGACCGGGGACCCAACAGAAAACAATATCTGTTTTTGCTAGAGATGTGACATAACCAAAGTTGTATACAAGGAACCAGGGGATGAGGTTAATCAAATTTTTTTATAGCTTGCAAAGCACTAAGGGAGTCTGAAACTACCACAAATGGCAACACAGGCATTGATGCAATATGGATAATTGCTATGAGAATTGCAATACAGGTCTCCCTCAACATTCACGTTTTCAACTTTCGCGGGCTTCACACATTCGCGAATTCCTAGCTGCCAAATTTCCAACCGCTAAATTCCCAGGCACCAAATCATATTTAAGTTTCCCGCCACCCGCAAGTCCCTACTACCCTCCCTCTGACCCCTGCAACTGGCAGCCAGCCCTCCCGCCACTCAGTGTGGCGAGAGTTTTGTTTGTTCATTATTTGCTATTAAACTACAGTATAAATAATGTCAACCGATTCACGACTTCATATTGGAATGGCCATTAGGACAGGTATTGGACAGTGACATCATATGTTTACTCTTGAACACGGCAAAGAATCAACATTTCTGCTGCTGCTAATAATAATAATAATAATACTATAGAATTGAAGAAGGAAATTGCACAAAAATACAAGGGTTGAAGCAGTGGTAGAGGAAGTGGTTGAGGCATCGTCAGTGTGGTCTTGTTTATGCTGGAGTGAGAAAGTCTCTCTGCTC